CTGGGAATGGGCCATGACCCCTGCAAGGACTTATCCCGGGTAGAGCAGGATGCCCGATCACCGCCGATCCCCCCTTTGCATGCGTGGGAGCCCGCCCTCTACTTTCCCACCACTGTCTCCAACCGTTTATTGAATGGAACTGTATTCGTTTCTTTGTTTTACCAGCGCAGTCCCCAAGATTCGGCCCTGATTCGCCGTTTAAAATAATGTGGGGTATCGATGTAGATCGTGGCTATCATAAGGGGCAGGGCGTGGTCGGAGGGGGGTAAACTGTGGCTGAAAGACTAGTATTTTACATGTACACTATTAAAGGCCCACCTTCCCCCTTCCCTCAAATATCATATGCAGAAACATATTCACTTATACACGGTAACAACAAAACAGCAGTAAAGAGCACAATTGCAAGTAGGTTTTGGTAGCTTCTTAATTTTCTTGTTTTTCAGTTTCTGTGTAACAATGGCAAGAATCCACTGTAGATGCATAAAATGACTCAAGAATTATCAAAGAACTTGAAAAAGGATAAAACTAGCAAATCCTTCCGCAAGTGTAAAAAAGATAACTGCATGTTATGACACATGCCCATTGATAAAACAAATCATTTGAAACCTGTGGAGTGATATACGCAAAAGTTAACCTATTATACTTTGACAGTGTTTTACAGTTCATAAATATTACAGTCAAATATATTTGATGCCTGAAGGCAAATGCATGATGCATTTTTCGTATTTTTGATAATACAAGCATGATATCCTCGATGACACACAGTAGAATAAAATCGTAAATCATCTAATATCATCAGTCTGGCAAAAATGGGCAAGAAAACATATTTTGGGTCAATACATGACACCGCAGCAAAGTAAGGCATACTTAAAAGCACCCTGTTGATGTCTTTAAATAAAAGTAATGTAGAATATCTGCCATTACACTGACAAATGGATAGAATACTGAATGCATATGCGTGTACATTTCAATCAAACAGTTTTTGCTTCATTAAAATGACGGTCACAGTTTCCTTTTACATTAAAAAAAATACAATGAGGTAACAGTTCAAAGCAGTGCTACTTTGACCAAACCTGAGAATGTTTGCCACTGCTTGGGCAATACTGGAAAAAACAGTAATACATGTACATGTATTGAAAAATGCAAAAGCATAAAATTTGAAACCAAATTATTGTCTTTCCAAAATACCAACCAGTATTCTTGGGATGATTACATAAACTTTTCAGTTTTACTTGTCTTTCCTCTTCTGCAGCTCTTCATCTACAACTCTCTTAAAATGGTCGTAGTCGTCAAACATCCTCTCAAAGCCTGGAGTTGGGGACCTTTTGGTTGTGGGGCAGAAGGTGAAGATTTTCTGCTTGCTGCCTTCTGTCTTGTCCTTTGATGGTGTGTAGCGCTTTCGAAGTCCACCACAAAATGGTATGTTACAGGCAGTGCATGGTTTTCTTGATGGATTTGGAAGGAATCGTTTTGGTGGCCTTGGTGGTGGTGCCGGGGATTGAAATCTAAAAGGCATACTGGCTGATGGTTGCTGAAGACAAACAGATTGTGAACTCGGCTGTGAGGGGACCACCATCAGAATGGGTATGCTAGAGGCTTTGGGATGGAGTGGTGACTGCTTGGGCTCCATGAATGATGTTTTGGGTTGTGGCTCCTCGTGATCATCAAAATCTAGACGCCTCTTTTCACCTCGCCTCTTCCCGGATTTATGTAGTGCATTTGAGTACTGTACTTCGGCTCTCGCTGGTGCTGGAAGTGACTTAGGGAGGGTAGGTGCTGCAGGCAGCGTTTCTTCTGAAATCACCCTTCGGTGTGATGGAACTTTAGGGACAGTTGTTGCCAAGTAGTTAGCCCTTTTTTCTTCCTTGCTCAAAAAGGTTGTAATGGACTTGGCATTAATGTTGGGCAGTGGAACATTAAGCTGAGAGAGAACTGGGTCATCTCTGACTCGGTCTACAATTCTCTTATACTGCCCTTTAATTAAACTGGCTGTTTTTGAGGGGGAGGACTGGGTCATTGCCTTTGGCCTGTTCTTCAACATCTTCACGAGAATGTAGAGGAGCCGTGACTCATCGGTTATTGGTACGGCCTGGGCATACTTCATCCATCCAAATTTGGTCTTCTGGGCTGCACTGTTGTCGGAAGTGTCTGCACCAAGACATCGGCCGAACAGTGTGTAACCCCACTTTGATTCATACTTTTTGACGAAGTTTCTGGCAGATTTATCGTGGTCATGAAGTTTCCCAGCAGCTGCTGCTATCTTATGTCTGAGAGGGACAGGAATAATGTGATGGTCACCATCATCTGAAAGCTGGAGTAGCAGAAGAGCAAGCTGTTCCACTTCTTCAAAGCCGGGAAGATGGAGATGGCTGGGTTTCATTAGCACATCCTGCAACATTGGACTCACCTCCTCAGTGACGTTCTCTTCTTTGATGACAACAGCATGTGGGGCACTCAAACAGTCGATTGGATCCACCGTGTTTTCATTGCCCTCCGAGTCTTCTTCAATACCCTCATCCTCGGACTCGCTGTCATGGCTATCCTGCTCATCATCCCTGGACTGTTCCTCTTCAACTGTGTAAAGAAAACGCTGACATCTTAATATACTTTCAGATGAAGGCAAGTCAGTTGGAATAACAACAAATAAAAACACTATGGGCACATGCACAGGTGCTTAAAATGTCATTTCATAATAAGGAGCCTCGACTGAGAGGACTATGTGTCTCAATTTCGTGAATGGAATCTCACCTTTGTGAGCGTAATATTCTTTGGAAGAGAAGTCTGTAGATTGGCAGTATGCATACTCGACTCCCAACAGCTCCTCTTCTTCTGGGTCTTCGTATTTGTCGGGGAAAGGCATAGGAGCCGAAAAGTTTGGCTCAAATAAATGCTCTTTCCCAAACAAGATCTCAGCTTGCTGATTGAGCCGCTGGATTTGTCTTGGGTCCATGCATGACGTCAGTCGCCCCTGCCCACCTGCTACCCTCAGTGATTCCATCCGGTTGTTCCACTGGACTGCAAAAGATATCAGGTATACCTGACAAAAAATGGAGGGAAAATTTAACCACCATGCATGGAACATTGAATACATATATGCATTTCACAACTTATACACTTAATCAACCAAGAACACTTTAGAATTTCATTTTGCACCACTACAAAGTTGAATTTTTGTCAGTGCACAAAGAACACAAGTACTTACCTGGAAAGGCATGATTCCACATCGCTGTGATGGAACTGCATTGTACATGTGGGAGTGGAGTCCTTCCAGGGAGTTGCTGCCTCTACGACACCGGTATTTGTTGAGCTGAACTCCATTTATAGTCACTACCTTGGTGGCAACATAGAGCTGAATGCCTGGTGGATCCTAATAAGGAAACCACACAAATAAGTAAATGAAATTTTGAAAATGAAATAACATTTTCATTGTTATTGGCACTATCTCTAACTCCTTTCACCTTTGAGAATGCAATACTCACTTGTATTCCACCAATTTTTGTTACCATGACACTAATATCAAAGAGTGGAGTGAACAGACATTTTTAAAGGCAACATAGAAAAGAACTCACCTGCATACAACTCAGATGTTTACTGGCAATGACCCAGTGAGCATCGACAGCTTCAGCCGACTTGAACAATGGGATACCATCAACATCAAGACCGGCTGGGCCTTTGAACTCCCGCAGAATGGCTTCAATGGCACATGCACTCTCCTGAGGAAAGTAAGAAATTTGCAAAGAAAATTACAAGTAGCTCAGATATCTTTATAAATTTGATTTCCTGAACATCTGATATCATGATTGATATCACGATTGCCATTTTTGAATAGATTTATTTACTAACAATTGCATTCCAGTCCTTTTAGTTTGTAACAGCCAACAGAGGCAATATTTCTCACAAGGACTACTTGACAACAACCATCATTCTGTTGAATGCTAAACATAAACATAACAGAGTGAAAGCAGCTAACCTCAATACCTCGTGTTACACGGCGGACGTACGACTTCAGTTGGTATGGCTTCACGAAAGAGACCATCTGCTCATCAGTGTATTGGGAGTACAGCTCCTCATTCCCTTTCCTCACCGCTTCGATGAGCAGCAGCATGTCATCTTTGTTGTATGCAAGAATGGCACCAGCAAGAGCACTCATGAATGTGCCATACTTGGCATGAGACTGTTTGATGACAACAGCATCCCATCGATGCAGCCAGTGACGAATATCAAGGCGTATGACCAATCCTTTGTCAACCCAAGCCTCAAACAGTGACTCCAGCCATGAAGTTCCACCCTCCCTGAAGTGAAGAATGTAGATGCATCATGAGAAATCAGTCTGATTCATATTCTACTATCATAATTAAGTGGTATTTCTTGCACGGGAAAACACCGCAAAAAGATCAAGGTCAAGTTTCACATGGTTACACATTTGGCATCAACAAACAATTGACTCACCTACAACAGTTGTTGTCTGCATACAGGACCTTTGGTGCAGGTGCATTGGCGCGCCTGAAGCGGGAAACAAGTCCACGAGCCAGTTGCTGATAACAATCCTCTGACTCGGAGGCCACCACAACAACAGTCAAAAACTGGCCCCACTCATTGAGAACACTGGTCACGTACTGCATGGTGCCTCGGCCATCTCCATAGATTTTCTTGAGGATCTGGAGAATAGCAAACAAATGCAGACAATTGTGTATTTTTATTCATGCGGATATGCACAAAAAATTAATAACCAGCAAAATCAAGTATATGCACCTAACTGTATTTCTTCAGTGTGGTGTCTTCATCTTTGCTGATTAATTTTTCATAATATATTGAATATCTATACATTCTTTTTTTTTACATGTATCCAGTAACGTATATGTACACATGTATATCATTCCATCGAACCCCATTTCAAAACTTCTGAAGAGTACAAGAGGATTTTCTTAACAAGATACATACCTGTTTGGTTCCATCAATGCAGAGAATCTCTCCGGTGACACTCAGGACAGATGCTCTATACATTGGCATTTTCTCCATCTCCATTATCAAGTGGGCTCGCCGGAGGACACGAGGGGAAGGCAGAGGGGTCTGTTGAATGGGGGCAGTGTAGCTCCCAGGTGGCTTGATGAACTGCAAAATGCCTTGCTGGGAACCTGAAGCATTGCCTGCGGTGTGAGCTTGGTGTAGGAGGGTCTGATACAAGTCCCGCCTCTCTGCATACCACTCATCGTGACCCTGCTGTATCATCCTGTGGACTTTAGCCATGGAAACAGAATTCAGCCTATCACTGAGGAGTGTTACAACATTCTTGTCTACAGCACGTTTTCCGCACAAGATGGCAGGAAACATGCTCCTCACGGCAGGTGCAAGATTTGCAAGTAAGCTTGGACTGTACGCATGCCACCTGTATTGTAGTTGCTGCTCATCTGTGGTTTGCTGACGCTTTTGCATGCAGAAAGAACACTTCAAACGTTCAGTTAGCAAGGTGTAGGTGTACCTTAAGCCGCACACCTGCCTGGCGAGGTTCCCATAGCCACTTCGGCTCAAGTAGCTTCCGGGTGGTGCGGGACACTTGGCATTGGGACATTTCAGCTTTACTTGTAGGACACCAACAGGCCTCCAAAAGAATACCGGCGTCGTAAAGAATGATAACATTGATGGGAGTGATCCTTGAACTCTAGTCGGAAGTGGGGGTGGATTGAAATCCATCTTGTTTTTGAAGACCTTTCTCATGGCTTGTTCTCCGTTGGCTGTTGTGTATGTCCGGGGGGTTTCAAATATCCCGTATGGCCCATCTGTCTTGAGCCACAAGATATTGGGGGAGTACATACCCTGCACCTGTGGAGGTGGCTCATCCCAGAACTTCTGCCAGCCCTCCAGCAACACTGATTCGTCCCCGGATGTAGCTGGTACATGTAGGTCAGGGGACACAGGCCGTTCTTCTAATGCCGACTGTGATGTTGAGGGCTCGTCGTCCGATGTTAATGTTGATGGCAGAAGCTTTCCAACGGTGGTGATCTGAGTGGACACTGCGACCTCTGAGTCCTGGAGTACATCCTCTAAATTTCCACAGAAGAGCACAAAGTTTTATAAAATTACACATCAACAAAACATATTAAAATGCATGAAAAAAATTTTTTCAACCACAGAATTGAGTAACATAATATATCTGCTTACCTGCAAGGGCCAAAATTTCAGCATCTTCAATGTAGTCTGGCTCCAGATTTGCTGGTTTCTCCTTTTCTGTTTTTTGCTTCTGCAAATCAACAGAAAAGAATCGGACACTGTCACAGCTATATTATTTCTTCTTGGAGTAGCCAGTCATCAATTTATAAAGTCAGTACATGTACTGATAATTTGTAATCAGTTTAACAAACTACAAATATATGTTATCTTTGAACATGCTTCATGGGCATTTTTTAAAATTTAGTTTTATGTATCACATCATATCCTAATATCAGAAAAAAATATTCATGAAACTAGGTCCTACAGGAGTAAC